CCTCCTCCTTCCCATTGGCGAACCCCTAATCCTCACATTGCCAGAGAGAAGCTTGTAAAGTCCCTGGGCCTAGAGAGCTCCCACAATGGGTTGTCTGCCCTTATAATGGGTGCATCTCCCTGAAGCCCCAGCTTTTTCCAGCCCAGGAGCAGCCCAGCTCCCCTTTCCGCTCACTCCCTTTCCTTCCGAAGGCCTCCACCCCCTGCATTTATTATGCCATCCAGGGACAAAGAGGCTACCAACCAACTCCAGTTATTTCTCACCTAAGACCAAGTCCCTAAGTGCCAATAGACCATTTACAACACGCAAACCAACACCAAGCACATCCCAGCAAGGTTCAGTCTCTCCTAGTCTTAACCCCAAAGGAGCATTTCCTCTTCCCAGCTGGAGTGTCCCCCCCCCCGCCCCCCCCCCCCATCTCCTCCGGAGAGGATGGCTGCTCATGTGGATTTTTAAGATACAGCAGGCGGCATACAGATTCGGAAAGGCTCTTAGAAACCCTCCACCCATCTCTGAAAATTGAAAGTTGCTGGAAACTTTGGCTAACATGGCAGAGCTCTCCCTGGAGATGGTCTGAAGGGTCTGCTGGCCCTTCTCCCAGCTCCCTTGCGCCTTTGGTGGAGAGGTATTCCACGGGCTCTGGGAGTAGCTGAGGTGAAATTGGGGATCAGGGGAAAGGGGTGAAAGTGATTCTAGGAGTAGCTTCCCAAACAAAGGAACGTCAGAAAAAAAAATGGGGTGAGGGGTTGTGGATTTGGATATCGGACTTTGAGACACAGTAATCCCCAAGGAACTGTTCAAGTGGTGAGCCCTCTCTCTCCTTCGGACCCAGAGGCTGCCCCCCTAGCCCCTGAAGCCTTGTGGGCCTCTCCTGCCACTTCCCTTTGTCGGTCCCCCCTCAGCTCCCTCCAAGCAAAACAGGACAGGAGGGGTAAGCTGGACAGGGGGACGGCGGCGGTGGGAGCCCAGCTGAAGGAAGGAGCCCTGCAGGGAGGCAGACCCGCACCCTCCTCCCTCCCTGGCTGTACCCAAGCAAACACTTTTATCCCTTTTCTCCCCAATACGCAGTAACAGAAAAACAATCTAGAAATTCCAAAATAGCGAAGAAGGGGTTGGGGGCGAGAGGGGGTGGACATGGGCACACAGCAGCCCAGGGGCCGCCGGCTCCCAGCGGAGGTGTGACTTTCCCTCCCGGGCAGGACGCAGGAGCCAGCACAATGTCCAGTCTCAGAGAGGTCAAGGGGCTTCCGAGGTCATTTTGTGGTTCTAATACTGAGCTAATCGCCTAGAAAACGTGGCCTTTCCATGAACTCTCTCTCCTGCCAACCTCCTGCCTCCAAACTCGCAGTGAGCCCCAGGGAAAAAGGGCCAGCACATTCAGCTCCGAGGCAGAGCCCGCTGGCTCGCTCACCCTCAGAAGCAGGGCCCCAGGTTGGGGGGGGGGGGCGGCGAGGGACACAGCCCCCAAAATGAAGAGAGCAAAAGGAAACCAAACCGAACAGGGAGCCTCCAGGAAAAAGGGAGGGGGACAGAGCTAAAGAGGAAGATTCCAGCGGCAGGAACCTTGCCTGTGAACGGAGCAGTTTCCTGCTCCAGAGAATTGGGAATATTTGCCTGGAATCCCAAGCTTGCCACAAAAAGGGGGAAAGGAAGACATCCACCTATACCCTCCTCCAAGCCTGGGGCATTTCCTCCAAGAAATGCATTCCGTTTTTCCAGGGGGCAGCATGACATCTCACTGTAAACAGCTATGTGGGACACAAGCCCTCCGTGTAGACAAACAGAGTCACAGAACGACCGGCCACATGTGCGCGTCGCTACACACATACACACGCACAGATGCTTGGGTGCCACAGGCCCACCTGCATCCTCCAAAACCAGGACAGCACCCTGAGCTGCCTCACACACAACCTTCTCTGGGGTTCTTCGGGGACCCTCACACTCAGGCCCCCGCAGTTCAAACATTCTCCAGGTGTCAGGCCTCTCTCCCATCTGACCCAAGCATCAGTCATCATAAAAGGCCCCAAACCTGACCAGAGTCACCATAAAAACCCCACCACGATAGGGGTTTCTTCTTTCCCTTGTTAAAAAAAAAAAAAAGCAGAAGAAAAAAAAGCTCATAAAACGATTTTTTAAAAAAAATGCCAGCCCAGGCGGGGGCTTTGTTACCTTTGCGCCTCTCGCCTCCTCTCGCCCCGAACTCCTCGAATCCCATTCATGGCGAAGGGCTTCTTCCAAACTGAGAGAAAAAAGTTTTCAACTTTACGGTTCCAAAATTTTTCCCCCTCGCAGATCTGGGAGAGGCGGCTAACACTTTTTCCCCCCAACAGCCGGTCTGCGGAGATTTGCTGTTGAATAATAACAAAGGAGAGAGGATACGTATTTAAAGAAAAGAAGTGATTAATGGTTTTCTGTATAATTCTCACATTTTTCTTAGCTCTTGTCTACACAGAATGGCTGTGAACTTTAAGCTCCATAGAAATCTTTTTTTTATTCTATTCATACCTTCCAAGGAGTAGCTTTGATTTGGTTCTATAGAGGCATTCCTGGGGGGGCATATGCTTTTTAAGAACTATTTTCTCCCTCTGCTAAGGGCAGTCGCATCTCCTGGCAGCTAAACATCACACCAAAATGGACCGAACAAAGCTGGCCGCTCTCATCCTCCAGGTCTGGGCGATTTTTTACGAGTCTCCCCGCAGCATTTAAACCGGCAGTTCAACCCTTTCTCAGTGCTAGGGACACCAGCCCCGTCGGTCCCTTGGCCCTACCCAGCTTCAAACTCCCGGGTGCTGCAAACCAGGGGGATACAATAAAGAAATAACAATGAAATGTGTGGGTGGAATTGGCTATTTTTATTTTCTAAAGGGAGAAGGGACTAAAACAACCAACCACTTTTCATTCATATGCTCTCCCCAGCCCTGGGCTCTCTGGAGGCAGGGTCTATACCCGGGGCCAACACAGGACCGGAGAGCTCAGGCTGGAGCCCCCAGACCTTCGAACTTCTCGTGGGTACTGCACAAAAGCGGCCCACGCTTAACAGAACTTCTGAGGGTCACCTGCATTCCCTTCCCCCACTCCATTCTAGGGGTGACTGGGACCTCCGAGACAGAAAGCGATTTGGTCCCCAGTCGTACTTTCGATACTTTCTATGAGAAAGAAAATGAAAATTAATACAGGAGCAGGGCTTCACAAAAGAGGCCATTTGTCTTCTTGATTATCTATTTGCTTGTCAGAGTTTGAGCTATGGCACCGGCCAGCTCCTTTGTAATATAAAAATACTCTGAAAACCTGCAAACACCCAGAAACATCTGTGCAAAAAATTAGACTCATTAAAGCCTTAAACACCTCCGAGGAAAACGATACCTTCTTATGCAGGAGAAAAGAGGCCGGCCTCGCGGAATCCTCTCTCGGAACTTTAATAAGCAAAGAGCCGTCTGTCTAGAAGGAGACAGCTTAACCGCATTTTATTTGCTTATGACAAATAAATCATGATATGAGAGGCTTTGCCATACTTAAGCCTCTTGTGTCCTACAATGAAACATTCCCCCCACCTCCACATTAGGGATTGGAGTCAGCCCTCCTCGTCCTTTCCATCCATTTTTTTTGGACTGGAGGGGGGACATTTAAAGAACACACCCACCCCCAAAAGAAAACAAACCAGCTACCACAGTTTGGAGTCCTTGAAGATAGAAATTCCCATCGGACCCTTTGGGGGGAAAAAAAAAATCCTCAGCCACATACAATGTGAATCCAAATGGACGGAGGTGCTTCAGATCGAGGCTAGGGGGCATTTGTCCGTATCTTTAGATCAAGGCTTAAACAAAAACACGCTGTGCTGGTCACAAGAAACCAAACATTTATTTCTATTGTCACTCGGTACAGGACACACATTTTCACGCCAACGAAGGGTTCTAGACTCAGGCAGCCCCAGAACTAGGAAGGGGGCCTAGTTTGGAATGTCAGGAAGGGAAGAGGAGAAAGGACACACATAACATAAAATAATAATAATAATTAATTAATAATAATAATAATCAATGCAACAATGATCAACTATGGGAGAGGTCTCTGGCACATCATCTCCCAGACCCGGGAGGGGCGCAACATTTTATTTCCTAGTTTCACATTCAGTTTCAGTCTAGGAGGGCAGGTCACCTCTGCACAACTGGAGATGGGCGAGGGGGGTGTGCCCAGAACTCCACCGCCCTCACCCTGCAGGGACAGCTTGACCTGCCCAAGGCAGGCCCTCCGGGGTCTGCGTGTCTCTTTTCTTTCTTTCTCCTTGGACTCAATTTCCCTGTGGTTGCCAAGGCCGCCCAAGCCTCCACTTGCCCCCTTCCTGCTGCCTCCCCTTCCCAGCCCCGCGGTGGAACGGGGTGCAGTCAGTGTCCCCGCCAAGGGGCCTGGATGGGCCACCGGGAGGAGGTGTTATGTGTGTGTGTGTGTTACCGTGGCCAACACACCGCGCTCTCTGGCAATCAGAGGGCGCTTTCGCTGGGTGTCAGGCCTGGGGGACAAAGAAAGAAAATCCGGGCCGTGTTCCGGCGGCAGCAGCAGAGGCCGGGCGGCCGGCGGCCTCATTTGTTAGCCGAGTGTCGAGGTAATGGTCGCCGCCGAGGCCCGTCCTCTCCGCGGCAGAGTAAACAAGACAGATGGGCCCGGGCCTGGCGTGATTAAAGATGAAACGTGGATCCATCTTCGCCACAGCTGAAAACGAGGCGTGCAGCCTCCTCCTATTTCTCTTTCTGTCTTTTCTTTCTTCCTTCTTCTTCTCCTCTTATTTATTTTTTTTTTAAGAAAGCAAGAGACTTGAGCTTTGCTTCTGGGGGGGCTCCCCATTGTGGTTTCTATAAATAAAGCTTCCCCGACCCCTTCTCTGCGTTTATTCGTGAAAATAGATAGAGGGGGGTGGGGGGGGGGAGGCAGGAAGGCTTCTCCAGGCCCAGGCCCCAGGGTCTCCTCCCGCCTCTCTCCCCCGCCTTCCCGGCGCTCGCCACCCTCCCCGCCCCAGGTACGTGGCTCCCCGCGCGCAGAGGCCACTAGAGCGCGGGGGGACCTCCGTTGGGCCGGCCTGGGGGCCCTCCGGCTGCGCCTGCGGCGCCGCCCGAGCGGATCTTGGTGTTGGGCAACTTGTGGTCTTTTTTCCACTTCATGCGCCGGTTCTGGAACCAGATCTTGATCTGGCGCTCGGACAGGCAGAGCGCGTGGGCGATCTCCACCCGCCGGCGCCGCGTCAGGTAGCGGTTGTAGTGGAACTCCTTCTCCAGCTCCAGCACCTGCTGGCGGGTGTAGGCGGTGCGAGAGCGCTTAGGCTCCCCGCCGGCGTAATTGGGGTTTACTGGACACACACAGAGAGAAGGAGAAAGAGAAAGTTTTATGGCCCCCAAAGGGAGGAGGGAGAGCACTTTCTTCCAGAGAACACAGTATCGCCCGCCCTCCCTCCCTCCCTCTCCCGCCGCCTCTTCTGACTTCGGGGGGCGGGGTGGGGGGACAGGGAAGCAAGCGGGGGCCGCTGGAAGAAAAGGAGACCTCGGAGTTTTGGAGGCTTATCTCCATGTTGTTTGGGGGTGTGTGGGGGGGGTTGGGGGGGGCTCAGAGTGAGGAAATCTTCACCAGGTTTTCCTCGTTCCTCTCCCGCCTTGGCCCGAGGCCCGGGGTGGGAGAATGAGGGGTGAGAGGGGAGGGGGCTTCCCTCAACCTTTCTGCTGTCAGTTCCCACCCTCTCTGCTCGGATTCCAAGCAGTGCCTGCCCCCAACAAAAAAACTTTTGCCCACTTCTGGCGCCCAGGAGCCAGGCCAGGGGAAAGCAAGGGGAAAAAATCAGTCGTGGGAGTTGACTCAACGCTCCGCTTAAATACAGATTTCCTCCTCCTCCTTCTCTCCCACCTCCCGCCCCCTCCCCGACTTCCAACTTCACTGAGACTCCGCGTCCCTGGCGAGAAAGTCGCTGGTGAGAATGGCCACAGAGAATGGGGAGCCGACTTCAAAGGCGCGGGGCCCACCAGGCCATAAAAATTTATGGGGGATGTAATTATGTGGCTCTGAAAACAGGCGACCGTAAATCTCGGCCGTGGCGAGTTTATAGCGGGGACAATTGGCTTCCCCCGGCTCCCCCCGCCCCC